TTGTCATTAGCCCCGTTTCACAGATGTGGAAACTGAGGCTCCAAGCCGCTAAGGATAGCTTGCCCCCCTCATTCACTCAGCCAATGATCAAGGCCTGGGCCCAGATCAGAAGGACAAGAAAGCCAGGCTGTGAGTCCTTGGACCTCTCAGGCATGTGGTGTCTGCCAAGAACTGCCCGAACAATCTCCAGTCACACAGAAATCCCTCCTCGGGGAGCGATCATCAGCCCCACTTTGGAGAAGAGGCAACTGAGGTTCTACGAAGGATACACCATGCCCAGGGCCACAGGGCTAGGACTGGGAGGTCTGGGACTGACGCTGAAGCTCCCTGACCTGAGGTCATTCCCTAGGACACCGGTTCTCAAACTGCGCACCGCGGGCCAGCGGCATCAGCATCACCAGACGATGTGTTAGAAATGCAAACCCTCCAGCCCACCCAGGCCAAGCGGATCAGGAATCCTGGCCACCTGTGCTGACACAAGCCCTCCAGGGGGTTCTGACCACACTCCCCTTTGAAAACTACTGGTCTCGCGTCTCCCGACCACGCGCAGCCATCAAGAGCCCACAGAGTGCACGCGCCACCCTGGCCGCAGTGTGCGGGGCCGTGGACAGAGTTTGGGAAACAAGGGCAACAAGCAGAGATGCTGCTGAAGACCCTCCCGCCTCACCAGAACCTTCTCCCTGCCCCTTCCCCATGGCCGGCAGGACTCAGGGCAGGGCTGCCTCAGCGGACTTCCCACGGCTGCTGGGGGAGGGCACAGAGCTGGGCCCCCACGTGGGGACGCAGGGCTCAGCCTCCCCCAATGTTGGGGGCTAGCGCTCTACGAAGTCTGATGGTAAAACAAACACCAAACACCAAAAACACACACAGCAAAAAGCAAAAAACCACGCTACCTTTGCCAGAAAGGTGGTTCAGCAGTAGGGTGACCAACTGCCCAGGTTTGCCCAGGACTGAAGGGTTTCTGGGACACAGGACTTTAGGGATAAATCCAGGAGGGTCCTGGGCACACCAGGACAAGCTGGTCCCCCTGAGCAGCAGGGTGCTGTTTGGATGAAGGAGGCCTGCCTGGCCCAGGGGGGGACACCCAGCAATTCATTTGGGCAAATGTTTCTGCCAGTTACTTCCAAGGGAGACTTGATAGGTCTGCTTGCACAAGCACAGAGATTTCTCTCTCCCATCCTTCGCCCTCTGCCCAGGCTTCTGACGGTCAACATGCTGTCAGCAGGGAGTATCCTGCTGGTCCTTGGGCCCCTAACTCTGGGCCGTTGCATCAGCCCTTCCCCATCCTCTACGACCTGCCTGGCCTCTCTCTGCTCCAAGGTCTACCAGGGAATCCTTTCATGCCTTCGTATGCCTTCTGGAATTAGCCTGTCCTCAACAGCACCCGTATTCCCCAGGCCTGGCGCTCACAGGCCTCTGTGTATCAGAAGCACTTCCACAGGATGATTGGCAGCCGTTTCAAAAGCGCCTTTCACTTACGGGCATCTTCAAGTCAACCCCTCGGGTGGGTGGACCCTGCAAACCTGGTTTGTAGCAGACGGAGCTGAGGCTCACGTTGCCTGGTCCTCCTACACATACAGAAGTGGCCGGGCTGGTGCGCCAGCCTAGGCTCGGGGATTAAGACTCTGGTGCTGTGTTCTCAGTCTTTTTACTACCTGACCCCTGCCAGTGGGGACAAGTCCCTGAGTGCCTCTGGGTGTCTCCGGGGGCCCCTGCATGGGGCTAGACACAGAGCAGGCACTCGGCTAATGCCCCCCTGGGATGAAAGAGAGGCCCTCGGGAGTGGCAGAAATTCAAGGCCCATACGATGAACAAATGAGCCAACACCGCCATGAGCCTGGAACCCAGGTATCCAGTAAGGACACTCGTGCAAACGCTCCTGCAAATGACAGTCCACTGGACTGGGAGCTCCACAAGGGCAGGAGCTGCCCTTCTCCCAGTCACTGCTGAGTCCCTAGCCCAGCACCTGGTGAGCTCTGTGCACACCTGTTAAAAGACAACAGAGGTCCCGCAGCACCGAAGCCCTGTGCCCTCTGGGAGGGAGGCCAATTCCTTTCCATTGCAGCCCAGGCAGGAGTTATGGATGTGGCCATTGCTCTGTCTGACATTATACTGGCACCACTTGTGCACGGGGTATGGGCTGAGCTCAAGGAGGACTAGGAGAAGGTACAGAACATTCTCTGCCACTGGTCTAATCTGCCAGGCACTTCGTGGCTGTGGGGTGCATCTGCTGTCCTCCCTGCCCAGCGTGCATGTCCCTGACCTTGGGAGGCCACTACTCCCTGAACCTCTGTCTCTACACTCCAACTCCAAGGGTGGTCACATGGCCCAGGCCTGACCAATCAGCATATTTCATCCTGTAGGCCACCATGATTGGTCCAAGAATGGACATGTGACCCAAGCCAGGCCAATGAAAGTCAGCCCCAGGATGTTAGAGGATGTTTGGGAAAGAGAAGCTCTCTCTGTAGGAAGATTGCTAACTGCACAGTTGATGGGATCCTGGCGCCTGGAGTCCTAGGGACCGGGCCAGCCTGAGAGAAAAGGCAACCCAGGAGAAATCAGAAGAGAACAGGACAGAGACAGAAATCCGATACTATCACCATGGAGGACCTGCAGCTGGAATATCCTGCGGCATGAGGCAAAAAACTAACATCTCCCTCCCTAGTTTCTGTATTGCTTAAGCCACTTAAAGATGGGTGTCTGCTCTGTGTGACCGGCAAGTTCTCCCTTAGGACCAAACTACACCTGCTCTCCTCTCACCAAGGAGGCCCTCGGGCCCGAAGCTCAACAGGAGGCGGCCGTCCCCTCCCCCACACTCCCTGCTCGCCTCTCCTTCCCTGCAGCCCCAGCCTGGCTTCAGGCCCTCGCGGGGGGTCTGGGGACTGAACTATCTCAAGTGTCCCCCATTTGACTCCAGTCTGGCAGCTCATTCCCCCATTGTCCCTCCACATTGTCAGGAAAGCTGATCTCTCTGAAGCAGATACAAAGAATCATGTCACTTCCCTGCTTAACACTTTCAGGAGCTGGTGACGGCCCACAGCAGATTCCTAAAGGGTGGGGTGCGTGTCCCTGCAGCTAAGTGAGCTGGTTTGCCACCACCCAGGGACCCGACACGCAAGCACAGTGAAACACAGGACAGAAAAGAGGCCCTTCTCACACACCTGCTTTCTTTACAGGGAAGAATCTCCACAAAGAGCTACTATGTCTCTGACGCCTTCATTACATCTGTATTTATGGTTACCTTCTATTTACGCAAGTGATACTGTTTTTTCATTGACAGTAGCTATGTCAAGTTTTCTTTGGAAATTAATTTGTATAAACACAAAAGTGAGACAATTTAAAGAAAAAGGGCAAAGAACAAGAGGTATTTGGGTACGGTGAATGATGTTTGGCAGACCACGAGTCACAGGAGGAAATGTGACCTCGTCGGCCACACACCCGAGGACCTTCCCTGCCCGCCCTGGGCCACTCCTTTACTCCTGCGGTAGGGCTTGTGACTCTCAAGTGGGTCTCACAGAGGCAGACCTCCAAGCCTTTGCCCGTGCTGTTCCTTCTGCCCAGACGCCCTTTCTTGTCAACCTAGAACAACCCATTATCAACCGCCTTATCAACCCAGAACAATCCCACTGGTTCTTTAAGACCCAGGACAATGTCACTTTGTGCGGTGGCCCAACTACTCAAGGAGTTCCCGTGCCCCCAGAGAGCAACGTCTGTGCTGTCTCGGGCCACCTGTTGTAGGTTGCTGACTGGAGGGTCATCCGTTTGAGGCTGAGAGATCCCAGGGGACCAGAACAGCCACTCAGTCAGCAAGAGATGAATCGAAAGTCCTCTACGAGCACACCTGGAGACAGCACAGTCCTGGCGCCCAAACCATGGGAGGAGGAGATGTTCTCAGGAAGGGAGGGGGATGATCTCCCAGGACAGGAGAGCTGGGGGTTCCTTCAAGAGAGAGGAGGAGGCGAGCACCTGGGACAGTGGAATCCCATAGAGATCCCGCGCAGAGGGCTTGGTTGGCCAAGGTTCTCCCCGTTAACTTGCATTGAATCGCCTTTGAACTGCTACTTCCTAAGCCCTTCCTAGGCTCCTTTCTAAGTGTGTGGGTTTGAAGGGGGCCCCTGAAGCTGCCCTTTTAAAAAAATGCGTCAGGCAATGTTGAGGACCCCACTCTGAGAAGCTCCGGCCACAGGTGTCAGTAAGAATGCAGCCAGGTAGGGGTCTAGCAGATAAAATGCAGAAACTCAGGTGGATTGTTAAGATCCCCCTGGACACTGCATCACTGCCTGGACACACAGCCGAGCAGAGAGCCAGCATTGTCGAGGCTCCTTAAAATATGCCCCAATAAGTCAACAGCAATAATTTAATGAGGGAGATCCATCCAGGATCTTGGGCAATCTACAGGCCGAACCCCAAGTACAGAGTCTCTCCTTAGAGACCTTATCAACCAGCAATTGTATGCAGGGCACTTAACCCTTAGAGGTCAGGACTGAGGCTGTTCCTGGCTAAGAAACCCTCCTTTGTTTGAATGACCAGGAAGTCAAATTGTTCAGAGATGAAATCAAGGCAAACAAGCGAGGGGGCAGGGAGCCGAGTTCACTGCAAATGGCTGAGAGGCATCCAAGCCGCTGTGCTCCGGGAGCCTCCTTAAACCAGAGTTAAAGTCGAAGAATGAAACTGTGTGCGTGGGTGGCTATATAAGACCAGTGTCCGGGGCCTGTCCTTTAAAGGTCTGGCCTTTGGAACAATCCAGGCCCAGTCACTCATCCAATGGAGATTGACTTTTATCTGATTAACGGATGGAGAAACATCCCTCTCCACCCAGCAGGAACATTCTGTGGGAAAGGCGTTTTGCAGACTGCAGGCAAAAGTTGGGCCTTGGCTTCCCTCCTGCTCGGCCAGTGGAAAATTACAAAGGAGGCAAGGCTGCCTTCTGCTTCGCCCGCGGTTCTCCCCGGGCCCGGAGGACACCAGGGGAACCCGGAAGCAAGCAAGCCTTTACTTACCTGGGGCAGAGAGGAGTCTGGGAGGCGGCGGGGGCGGGGGTGGCGGCGGCAACGGGGGCGGGGGCCGGCACTGGCAGATGTGTTGACAGCTGTCAGTCACCTTGGAGCAGGACTTCTGGGGCTCACCGTGTGTCACCTGCAGAAATGGACCCATGTGACCCAAGAGAAGGCAAAGAGGCAACTAGGGGCCAAAATGGGCCCACCCACACCCACTCCCTGTGAGGCTGGAACTTGGGGTTCTTCCTCCAAACCACGGCAGGAAGAATAGATGGAAGTCGGGTTCAGAGAGGACAATGTAGTAGGAGGTGAGCTTGGCAGGTTTGGCAACTAAGATTTTATTCCCAGCTCTGCCAGGGACCAGCAGTGGGACTGTCACGAGTGACTGCAATATTATTGAAAGGTAGACAAGAACTTGAAGATTAACTCCTAGAATCTCCCCATCTGACAGATGAGGAAACTGAGGCCCAGGAGAAGTGGCTGCCCAAGGTTCTCTCACACGGATGGTGAGAGGGTGCTGACTTCACCTCCCCAGGAAGCAGACCCAGCCACTTCTCCAGTACTTCCTGACACCGCACAAGGCCACGCCTCCCCTTCTCTCGGCCACAGCTCCCGACAGCCTTCCGGGGACAGCCAAGGCCCTCCGTCTTGGGGGAGGAGCCTCGCTTAGCCAGGCGTCCACTCTGCTGACACGCACGAAAGAGGGAAGCCCCAGTGTCTTGTGTGCAACATGCCCAACCAGACCACCTGCATCCTTCAAAGCCCTGCCCCCCCCAAGCCTGCCCACAGCTCAGGGGATCACCGGCCACAGGGTCCTGCACGGGGCGTCCCCAGCCCCACCTCACCCTGAGCTCCCACCCTCAGCTCTGCCCTCAGGGCCCTTTTTCCAATCCCTGGCGCTGGCCACACTCCCTCCCTTTGCTCCAGGGCCTGGAACATTCTCCCCCCCACCTCTCTCCCCGTTGGCCCCTTACTCAGCTTGGCTACCATCTCCTCAGGGAAGTGGCTCTGACCCCTGGGACCTGGTCAGATCTCCTGTTCATAGGCTCCTCCGGCCCAGCAGGAACCGAGGGGCCAAAATCTGCACGGGGGTGGCCACTCGGTTCCTGCATAGCCATCTACACTGCTGGACCACGGGCCTCTGGGGGCAGGAGCCAGGCCTTTGATCATTTCTCTCACTATCACAACCTGGCACCGAAGGGAATGCCTGGCACTCAGTGAACATTTGGTGGATGAATGAATAAATGAAACAACGGGTGAATGAATAAATACAGGGTCCAGCACAAATAACTCCCCCCTTATTTATTTATTTATTTATTTATTTATTTATTTATTTATTTATTTTTTAATTACAAAGTCATAAGCATGTAGTTCTCTGACATAACAATGTCACTCAAACACACCATATGACATTTTAGGTGAAATGTTCAAATGAAAACTGTAAATTATTACACCCACACTACTACCCTACAAACCACACTCAAGCAGGCCTTACTTCTGCCGGAGCCTGCATTAAAAACTGGACCAGAAACCACACCTCTGGAATCCCGGCCTGGTGCTTTTTGTCATCAGCATCATTTCCTTCCTCACCTGTAAACCACGAGGAACAGCGGGAGTGGGCTGTGCCCAGCCAGCGGTTCCCAACCCCGACGGCACACCAGGATCTCCAGGCAGCCCTGAAAAAATACTCCCGGTCTGGGCCTCTGACACAGTGAGGCAAATCAGCGTTTCTGCGCATGCAGCCGGCACGAGTATTTTGTGTAAGCGTCCCAGGGTAAGCTTCTAAAGGAGCTGCAGCCTGACTGACTGCATCCCTCCCTGAGGCGGGGCCACAAATCCCGGGGAACACGTTGATTTAAGGCGTGAGGGAAAAAGCTGGCAGTCACCCCTGCCCCCAATGACGCCCACACTTGATTTCCCTGGCTGTCACCTGGAGCAAGTACGAACCCAGAACCCCATTTTCCCTGCAGCCAGCCATGTGCGGCCGCCTAGAAAGGCCAGCGCAGACCCTTGGCTGCACGGGTCCAGGCCCGGCAGGGCGCGTGCTGGCCTGGGATGCCCTTCGCCTTTGGCAGACGTAAGCAGGCTGGGCAAGGGCCACGGCAATGACAGCAGGAGAGGAACCGGTTTACGGCCCTGATGATGCTTCAAGGCCAAGAAGCTCCTGCTCACCGCCTTTAAGCATTTTTAAAGGTCCATCGACTGTGGTTCAAACCCTAGAAGGCAATCTGCTCTAGGAAGAGCATCTCCTGGGAGGGTGAGCCTTTTCTCTGTTGTGTTACGGGACACGATTAACTGTTCTTACATCAGTAGCCAATGCCTTGGCTCCCCCACAGGCAGAGGGGTCCACTCTCCCATCAGCACGGAGCCTGCCCTCTGGATTCCGACCTTCTAGGACTGCGGGGTTTGCTCGAGAGCTCCCTCCGCCCAGCTGCTGGCCTCGGAGATCGCTTCTCCCCTGAACGCTACCAAGTGTGGGAACGTCAAGCCATGAATGCCATTGCCAAGGCAATTACTTTCCCACTCTCCAAAGTGCAATTTACGCGAGAGCACTCAAGAGCTGCACGTTTGTTTAACCCCGCCCAACACAATGACCTATTTTTGCGAGGCTATAAGGGCACAGATGTATAAGAGAGTTTAATGCAGTCAAATTATAGGCAGGGAACCTGGGGCCAAGCTTCAAGGCCAATGGGGGAGGAAGTGTTTTGGAAAGCAACGGTGTCTCGGAATGGTCCCACTGGAAAGGCAGCCGGTGCTTAACCAAATGTCGCCACAAGAGTATCTGCTCCGTCCGGCTGTCCTCCCTGAGAGGCGAGCCCCACTCAGGCCCCTTAGTGGAGTTTGGTCGAGTGCAAATCTGAGGCCACTGAGCCTATCACCACTGACAGTTGGTTACGCAGACCCTTGATCCACATGCCAACTTCTATTCATCCTTCAGACCCAGCTCCTGCGCAGCCGGCTCAGGCGGGCCACCCTGAGCCCCGTGACCCCCAGATGAGACCCACCGGCCCAGGGCTGCTTCCTCTCCTTGTAAGCCCTTCTCTGTGGGGCGTCCTCCTCACTGTTTTGTAATGTTTGCTCCCCTGACTGAAGCTGGCAGGTGGATGAGTCTGTGCTTTAGGAGTCCTGACTGAGCGTGACTTCCTGAGCCCTACTGTGGGTCAGCCACGGGAGCGGGGTATCATTTCACCGCGAGGACAACTGGGAGGGGCAGGTGTTACCACCCACACAGAGGGACGGCAGGCTCAGCGAGGGTGAGTGATCCGCCAGAGTCACCCGGGGCCTGGCGTTCAGTGGGGGCGCACAGGGGAAAGGGGCGCTGGGAGACAGTCCGCCCCGCGGTGTGCAGAAACACAGGGTCTATCCCATCCCGAGGCCCAGGTCCACTTCAGGGTCCTCTGGAGGGTGGTGTGGTGTTTAGACAAGTAGAGAAGAAGTCTTAGTAGCAGGAGCTTGCATCGATACCTGGCTTGCTTGGTGTATATCTTAGGGAGGCCCAAAGGGACAAGAAACTTGCCCTCGAAGTTGCCTGCTCTTAGCTGGACTTGACCAAGAAGGGGCAGAGGCCCAAGGAGGTCCATGGCTTGCCCACAGCCCACTGAGCAAAAGCTGGCATCACGCGTCCCTGGGACGAGCGCTCGCTCCAGCTTCACCATCACCTGCTCTCCCGCCCCGGCTCTGCAGTGTTCTCCTGGGTACGGGGAGGTCCTGCAGTCACCTGGGCTGGGTACCTGTCACTGTGGTCTAGGCGACAAGGGGCTCCACAGCTGTCGGTTCCCACTTCTGGCCAGTCAGTTCAGCTCTCTGGCCCCGTGGATGTAGCCTCGTAAACAGTACTTGAATGCATCCATCTACCCCCCCACCCAAACCGGGACCCTGTCCTGCCTCTGCTGGAGGCCTGCTACATGATACGCAGGACACCTGTTATGTTTTAGATAAACAACCAATTTTTTAATATAAGTACGTCCCAAATACTGTAATGGGTATATTTATCATGTTAAAGAATGACTTGTGGTTTGTCTGAAATTCAGATTTAACTGGATGTCCTGAGTCCCTATGTGCTCAATCCGGCAGCCCTGCCCTCGCCCGCGTCTTTGACCCTTGCCTTGCTCCCCTCCCCGAACCCATCTTGCTGGCCGGAGCTGGACTGAGATTTCCAAAAATGCCAACCTGGGGGCGTGTCATCTCTTGCTTAAGCCTTTGACAGTCCCATAGCCCCCAGGATCAAGTCCGAACTGCGAGAAGCAATGTTAGTGGCTCACAAAAGTGGCCTCATCTCCACTCCTCCGGCCCGGGGCTGCTGCCTCGCCTGCTCGCCTCACCCACGCTTGCCCGACTCCTCACTCTGCTCCATTCCTGTCTCGGCTGAAGCACCGCATCTGTGAGACTTCTGTCTCTTTCGCCAGGTCCCATCTCCTGTTGAGCTATCTTGCCTGTAATGACTTGTTTAATTACCTCTCCAGTGCCAGACTGCCGATGCCACGAGGGCAGGGACCACTGGGTCCCTTGCACTTAACACGGGGCCTGGCAAGCAGCAGGCGCCCAGTAAGTGCCGCCGAACACGTAAGTGAAGCTGTAGTGAATGGCCACAGGCGAGGTCAGCCTCACTTAGGTCTGGGGGTAGCGCCTTGTCAGCGCCCAGAAACCCACAGGCTCAGATCAGAGCCGGTCGCCCAGATGGTGGCTTTAGGAGGACGCCCACAAAGATGATGGCTTCTGGCATCTTTTATGGAGACAGGCCAGCACCACAGTAACTTGATGAGACACACTCCTGTCACACCTAATAAATTTGCCAGCTTGTCATCCTCTTTGCTTGCAAAAAAAAAAAAAAAAAAAAAAAAAAAAAAGGAATCATCTGGAAGTGAACTTAGAAGAACCCTACATCACAAAAGCTCAAAATCCCAATTCCAGACACATTAAAGAGAAAAGGGGGGAGGCTAAGGGATGCCCCCACGCCACCCCTGCGGCAATTTAAATGTCATCTGACTTGAATGATTGAGCTTCTTATCATCTACGCAGCCTCCAGAGGCTTCGGGCTGATTTCAAGGTAGGAACCTGGGGCATTGGGAACCACAGGTCTCTCACTTCACCAATTTTCCTATTAATTAGAGGACTTTATTACCTCAGTCTCACCCTTCCAAATGCTTACAACTTCGGGGGACTCCTCTGGCAGAGTGCTCGCGAGAGCCCTGAGTTCTTTCTCTGTGCTCGGAAACGCCTATGATGTGACAGGTCTTAAGCTCTCCGCTTTACAGGCAAATAGCTTCATGTACTTCTGTTTTTCCTCCTCTTCTCTCTGTTCCCCTGGATTCAGCTGTTTTGCTTAAAAACCAGATCCATCCATTCCAAGGCTCCTGTTCCTTGCCTTCTCATTCCTTATCATTTGTAGATTAATTTTTCCAGAGCCTCCTGCCAAGATTTTATCCATTCCACTTGTCTAGTGGATTCCTTTTCTAATTGGTTTGTATGAAAATTGATTTGTATTGAGTAACAGCATCTGAAACACACACACACACACACACACACACACACACACACACACACACACTTGTGTTAAGTACTGCCTGGCTGAAGGACAGTGTTAAAAAACAAGGTTGCTTTCACAAAATTATTTCTTTTGGTGGTGGTAGGTCTCCTGTTTCTATCCGGCAGAATTCTAGTCTTGGAGACAGACAACATCATTGGGTTGTTCTCCACACCAGCTGAAGAGTCTTACGGAAAACTGGAAGCAAATGAGTATAAAAATGAAGTGAACATCATATCTGAGGTTCAACACAAAGTTGAACAAGGGAAGCTGGTCCTCAGCCGCCTGAGTGCTTAAAAGTGACAAAATCCTGCACCCTGAGCAGGCACAGCTGAGTTTAATAACTGCTATTTCACACATTGAAGAAAGCTGTCAATTCCACAAGGAAAACAATTGTGAGCGGAGCGGGGGCGAGCCAGAGAAGGGCTCAGAAGGCGGGCCCTGCCGGGGGTGCAAGGAGGACCCTGACCGACCCACCCAGTCAACCAGCATGTTGGGTCCAGCTTTCGAGCCCCTGGTCCTCTCCCAGTAGCCACCCACCCACCATCCAAGCAGGACTGACTGAGCTGGTTCCCAGGACGGCCCCATAACTGGGGACAGCTCATGGACCATGGCAGATGGGCAAGCAGTCTCAGCTGTCCTTTCTCCTTTGGACTGTCCCCTCCTACTCACATAACCATCGGGATAATCCCTAAGCTCCCAAATGCCACCAGGAGAACATGAAGTTGCAAATACCCAGAGTGGGGAATTTCAAGGCCCAAAACAGTACAAATGTCCTCCAGCACCTGCTGAACCACTAACAATTCAAAAGCTTGGACAGACTACGCAGTGATCAACAGAGTACCTGGCCGGCCAGATAGAAGGGTAGCATCACTATTACTAATATCAATGATGGCGGCGGCAGCTACAATGTAGTGTTTATTACGGTCTGGGCGCTGCGCTAAGTAATCTTTACTCACTTTATCTCATCAAGGACTTATAATATCACAGGCAGAGGAAGAAACCAAAGAGCAGAACGGTTGCGTGCAATGCCTGAAGTTGCCCAGCTAGGACAGGGCAGAGCTGGGGCTCAAAATTCAGAGTTGACAGCAAAGTCCACCTCTTCACCGCTCCACGGCCCCGCGGACCGTGTCCTTTCTGGGAGGCACTAGGGACCATCCCATCCAACTCTGTCTCTGGCCCTAAAAGAGGTAATGCCAGCTGGTGGCGCCACCTGGCTCTGTCCTGGGGGCCAGGGGACCCAGGTTGAGGATTCCATCCTCAGGCTCTCTGCACCAGTGGACAGTTGTTCTTACATTCTCCACGAGTGTCCACCACGTACAATCTGTCCACATCCCCGACTCCACTCCCTACAAGAAATGCAACCTCTTTTGTGTGGAAGTCCAGCTGAAGAAAGCTAATTTGAAGTTTACTAGTGGGAAATCAAAGACGCATATTCTTGGGATCATTTTTCTTTTTTAAGTTTGTGAAATCTCTAAGGTTTCTTTCCTGGCGTTTCTGCAATCGGAAGCCTCATTTAGGAGGCAGTCCCAAAGCCCTTCCTGCTCCCAGGCCCCGTAGTGCAGGCCTTAGGCCGTAACTGAAGCCTCCCTCCCGAGTTTCTCCTCTCTTCCCGGCCAGGGTCCGGAGAGGCCCTAGCATCTTTTCTTCATCTAAACTCTCCCTGGGACTGATCAGAGGGGCGGCTGCAGGAAGCTGGGGTCGGGGGAGTGAAGCAACACCCCGCCCCCACCAGGTCCTGCCCAGGAGGTCTCCAAGCCCAGGAGGTCTCCAAGCCCGTGAGGTCACGCAACTGGCGCCAGCGCTCACCTGCACGAAGCCCCAGAGCGGGTGGAGCGCGCAGTGCAGCAGAAGCGAGGGCCAGCAGCAGCCACGGCGCAGCACCAGGTCCCGGAGGAGCATCTCGGCCGGTGGCACCCGCTCTCGGGGCGAACTGTGAGGGGAGCAAAGCTCGGGTCAGGCGGGCGCCGCGTGGGCACCGTCGTCCCTGCGCACCGAACACAGAGCAAGCAGCCCCGGTGGGACAGGCACGCCCCGCACCCTGGGGCACTCTCGTAAATCAAGCCTGTTCCTGCACTCCAGTTTGCACATTCGATGACTTCTCATGCACACTCGCAGAAGCCGGCTTCCCAGAACTCACTCTCCATCCTGGTGCATACCCTCAGAGCCTGCGTGCACACCTTGGCCCCATGCGCACCTTCAGAAACAACCCAGCACACATACAGAGCCCCGTGCATCACCCCAGAAACAGCCATGCACAACTCACTCCCACAGTTAGCACACTTCAGACCCGGCGGGAACCGCTAACACTGCGTGCACACCCATCCACTCCTGCCTGCACAGTCGCGGACTCTGCATGCACAACCCCACGGGATCACACGCTGCGGGCACCCTCCTTGCCTCCCTGCCCCGCCGGCCCTCACTGCGCACACTGCAACATAGGCATCGCCGTGCGCACCCCATTTACCCTGGCGCGCTCTCCCGAGCCCCGGCCTCCCGCCCCAGAGCGTGAGCTTCCCCCAGGTCTCCACCTCCGCCCGCACCCCTCCAGGGTTTCACGGCACCTTGCCTGGGGGCCGCCCCAGCCGATCTTCGGCGCGGCGAAGGGAGGTCGCACTCCCCCCGCGGTAGACTGTTCCCGAGCCGCCGGACGGCCCCCATTTAAAGCCAGCCGCCTCCCCAGTCCCCCGCCCTCTAGGCGGGGCCTCGGTCCTCACCCTAGCGACTGCGCGGGCGCCTGGGGGCTTCACGTGCCTGGGAGGAGCACGGGCACTGGAGCAAAAGTTTGCGTGCGGCTTGGGCCTCCGGGGCCGCTGAGCTGGGGTCCCAGGCGCGGCGCGCTCGCACTGGGCGCAGGGCGCGGTGGCTCCAGGCTGCGCCTGGCCGCGCGCGGGGCGGGAGGGGCGGCACCCCGCGCCCAGGGCCAGGGCGGGCTGCCGAGGCGGAGCCGGGGGCGGGGGCGGGGAAAGTCTCCTCCGAGCCGCCTGGAGCAGGCAGCGAGTGCCCTCCCCGGCTCCCCGCCCTTCGCGGTGGCGCCGCGCGGCTTCCCAGGGATAGGGGGTGCAGGAGCTCTCCTTGTCCGTCACGCCGGCCCGCGAGAGGCAGCGGCGAGAGGCGCCGGCCGGGAGCGCTCCCTCGGGCAGCAGGGCCGCAGGCGGAGGCGAATAAATAATGCACGAAAAAGGAAAACAGACGTGAGCCTCGCCAGAGCCTCGCCCGCCTCCCGCGCGGGCAGCGCTCCCGCCCGCGCTCGCCGCCGCCGCCGCCGCCGCCGCCGGCGCTGCTGCAGTGATTCCTCGTCTCCATCTAGCGAGGCTATTGTGAATTGGGCGCTTAATCATTTATAAATTCACCCGCGAGGAAGAGGACGCAGCTCCAGGGGGGACTTGCTCCTTGCTTGCCCTCCTCCCAAGTTTCTCCGAGGCCGCGGGACGGGGGTAAGGACCGATTCGTGGAGACCCCTTTTGGCGCTCTGCCCTCGAGGACCCTTTCTCCTCCCTGCCCCGTCCGGCGGGGGCGGGGGCGGAAGCGCCCGCGGGTGCCGGCGCTCAGGTGCTGGGGCCCAGGGCTCGCTCTCCCTTCCACAGTCCCCAGACGGGGCCCCCCCTCTCCAACCGCAGGGCTGCGTCTATAAAGGACTTCCTGATGGTCCTGGGGGAGATCTTTCCACCACTGTTTCTCCTCAACCATCTCAAGCTCTTCAGTTTGAGGCAAAATTATCAACAAGTAGTCGCGAAGCAGCCCCGAACATTTCTTGCAGACGAATTGCCCCCGGCTCCCAGGCCGGGCTGCAGGGATGCGAAGCGGCGCTGCTCATCCGGTGGAAGCGTGGCCCGCGCTTTGACTGATGGAGTGGCCTTACAGAAGGGCCCCCAAGGCATTGACAGTCCTATTTTCTGCTTGGGCCATGGTACCAGGGGCTCCAGACAGAGAGCGGAGCATTGGGCACCGTGGTTCATTCACTGAAGGAACATTTTCTTCGTTCTTTCCCCCAGTCTCTGTGGGCAGCCTTAAGCCACCCCTATACACACGTGCTCTAAGTGCAGACTGTTTGTTCTGCAAATCGGCTTTCAGACCAATTTCCTAGTGGAGCGCTGACCTAAGGCTCTTCTCCGTGTGAGCTCTGCGGAGACGTGTGTGAGCCAGCGCCACACTGGGGACAAATGGGAATGAGGCCCATCCCTTCCGCCCGGGAACTGGGGGGCTGACCTGGGAGACAGATAATAGAGTCAGCTATTCCACTACCAGCCTTGGTGTGAGAGGGGCCTGCGCTGTAAGGGGACAGAGGAACGAAGTCTTGGTGGGGGTGGGGGTGCAGGGTCTGTAAAGGTTTCCAGGATGAGCTGACCTGCTGGGAGTGGGGGTGTGTTTCAAGCGTTTGGAACCCCTTGGGCAAAGAGGTGGAGACTCTGGTTCATTTGTTCATTCATTTGCTCGTTCACACTTTCATTTCCTGCATAGTGTCTGTGAGCACCTACTACGGGCCAGACAGCGCATTGGATGCTGGGTGCACCACCGTGGACAAATCAGGTCTTGTCAGCACCCTAGGTTGGCCCACAGCTGCGGGAGGAGAGACGGGAATAAAATACCAGTTTGCATGGAGGCTTTCTCGACAGCTTTGTCTCACTCATAGTTTGAAACAGGAGAATGAGCCCTGCTGGTGAGGCGAGATCAAAGGAACACTGAGTATCGTCGCGCCTTTCCACTTCCCCCAGGCTGGATATTTTGGTTAGTGATGTTTTTTCATGGAGCTCTTTGCCACCGAACAATGTCCTTTGTATTACATTTTAATCCAGCCCTCACAGTTCCACGAGGGAAGTGTAATTGCCCCATCTGACAAGCTCAGAGGAGTGACTTACCCATGACCACGCAGCTGCTCACCTGGGATTCACAAGTACTGGCCCCCAACTGGAGACCCAGTGCTTTGGAAGAACCTGGCAGGTTTTTCCTGTTGGAAAGCCCGCACCGTCCATTCTGGCCCTCCGTATTCCTGGTCTGGCCCCGCGCTCAGCTCCCCTGGAGAGCCCCTGACCCTCCTGCCACCATGGAGTGTCACAGCCTCTCTTAGGGTGAAGACTGGGCTCAGTCACGGGCCCCCATGTCGCGGCAGGACCCGCAGGCTGCGGCGTCTCCCACCCCTCCTGGACTCCTAAGGCAGCCCACACCGTGGGACCTGGGACCTAGCTCCAGGGGCCAGGAAGCTCTACTCAGAAAGTCAGGGGAGTGAAACCTTGGGACACATTTGACCAGGGGAAAATAAGAGGGTAGCGGCGCCCCGCTGGTGGATTGCAGTGGTTCCGTTTGGCCTGGCAGCAGCTAGCAATGGGCACGAATGAGCAACTGGTGGGGGTTTTTTCTGAAGTAGGGCCATCTCGGCAACACACAACCTCGTGTGTGCTTCCTTCCTTGTTTCACCTCCCTTGCCCCCCACCCCACCATTTTTGTGACCCTAGGGTTGTATCCCTCAGTAAAGTGTTAGCAAGCAAGTGTTGCTTCATGCTCTGCCACCTAAGGGACCAGGGACCATTGGTGCTACCACAGGCTCTAGAAAGCAAATGTTCAGGACGGACATTGGAGCTCGATTTCCCATCTATCTGGAAGCAATAGGGGCCCTATGACTGATGGTCAGCAGGCTCCTATGTGGCACAGTGATGTAATTTCTACAGCTTCACCTACAGCTAATTGGAATGAGATGCATGTAGAAAGCAAGGCTTTGGGAGGCCAGGCGCCTCCTGCTTGGGATCGCCGTGGGAAATGATAACCATGAGAACTGTGGGCTTAGATGGCTTCTGCTGAAGTTTTGTAAAAAGAAAAGGTAGATTCAGGGAAGCTGTCTGCCAACGTAAGTCATGCTCTGTGGCAAGCTGAAAAGAATACCAAGCATGCAGCCACATGGGTGTCAAGTCAGGGCGCTGGAATAGAGTCATTTGAGTGGACAAGCCTGGGACATTTGGACCCCCACATCTCCCTAAATCCTCTGGCTGGTAGAGCACCCCTTTTCTCCTTTGTCAAAGAAGAAGAGCTCCTCTCAGCCTGGAGACTGAGCAGCAACCCATTGCAGCCAGTTCCTTGCCAAGACGGTGCTCGTTCTCATGACAGTAGCCTGCATGAGATGCTAGAAGTTTTCTGGCACACTATTGAGAAAAGGAACAGAAGGCTCAGAGATGTGCACATTTTAGCTTCACAAGACCACCCCTGACTGTCTCCTGGGATGGCCTCGAGGACATTCCCATCATTGGTCAGGAGGTGAGGGAGTGCCAGCCTCTTTGAGAGGTTCAATGGTGGAGATCTTTGAAGGCTGAGTTCAAGGGTGGGAAATGGTAGGGAAATTGACTCCATAGTATCAATGGGAATCAATGTATTAGCAAAGGCCAACTGGACTCCCAAGTCATGAGAGACAAAGAGGACATAATTACCCTGAGGACAGCAAGGCTAGAATGGCAATCAGGTTGACCTTGAGCCATGGGTGTCTATGTCAGTGGCAGATAGATCATGGTGTCACTAGGGATGAGACCAATGGAGAGTTGACAGGGTATTGCTCAATTTGCATACTTTTTTAAAAAATCAAGTGTGCAAGAGCAGAAAGATAACATGAGCTATTATGATGGAAAATTATCTGTCTGTTCATAACCCAGAGCCCAGTGATTGAAGGGGAGGCTGGGATCCTTTGCAGAAGGGCTGTGGGTTGCCACTGAGTAATAAGGTTGGTCACGAACAGCAGCGATCCAACCTGGGACAGAAGTGGTACGTTTAGGGCCACGCTCAAGTAAGTCCACAAGGGACAGGTACGTTCCCTAAACAAGGGGCCTAGATTCTCATCTCTGCTCAAGTTCTTCCTCAGTTGTACCTACAGCCTCAAAGGGGAGTTCCTCGTGACTATCTGATGGAGGATGAGAGGACCGAGGCCTCGTTTACATACCGGTCAACACAACATATTGGCGCTAGTTGGGAACAGACTACTATTGCATTATGTCCCCATTTAAGGGCAGACGGAGCTGGCTCAAGGTGCAGACAGGCACTGACCCCTTGGGTAATGCAAGGGTGACCTCCTGGAGGTCAGGTACACAGGAAATGGGTGAGTTCATGGGTGGGCACAAAGGATTTTTCTGCCTCCTGTTAATACTCACCAGAGAGTATCCATTGCCCAGGAGGCTCTCAGCGACCAGCTGCACAGGAGGGCCCACCCTGTAGAAGTGGGCCGGCCTCTCCCTGGCCAGCTTGGTGCTTCCCTGAACCATGATGTGGTCTCCCAAAGGCTCGGCTCCGGCTCCTCTTGAAGACAGCAGCTTGTGGGCTTGAGACATTGTCCTCCTGGATATAGTGTGAGCTGATAAGTATGTCTCCAGTTGCTGGAATACACAAGTCTGGGAACCAAGGTGTGGAAGTGGGCTGGCCAGTGAGGTACCTGAAGACTGTTCCTCGTCCCTGCAAACTTAGACTCACCAGCGCTAGAGGCCCTGGCTCCTACAGGGTGAAGCTTCCACCGGTGCATATAGTAAGGGTTCCACTAAAGTGGGAGCTGTAACTACTCCCGGGGCACTGTGCCAGTGGGCCAGCAGTCAGAGAGAGGGGTTGCTACACGGGTAGGATGATCATCCTTGATTACCATGATCTAGGCTTGCCGCCACACGGCGGCACAGGGATGAGTATGTCTGGTGCTATGGACTGAATTGTTCCCTGCCCCCTGACCCAATACATATGTTGAGGCTTAAACCCCCAATGTGACTGTATCTGCAGGTAAGATTTTTAGGGGGAAATGAAGGTTAAATGAGTTCATAAGCGTGGGGCCCTAATCC